AATAAACATAATATAACAGTTCGTATAAGAGGAAAAAAAAAAACATTGTTGTTTTTCTTAAATAAGGCGTTTAAGAATTTTGCTTTTCTTTTTCCTTTAAAAATGTTTTTAAAAATTAAAAAAATTAAAACGAAATAAGAGACTGTCTTCTTCATGGGCACTATAAATTTTATGTTCTGGCTGTCATACCATATGAAATAGAATCTATAGTACTTGTAATATTGTTTTTATTTTCAAGGTTACCCCCCAACCCGGTGTACGTATACGTTGTACAACACTAGAATATTAAAAAAATTTGTCAAAATTTCCGACCTACTTAAATTTTCTTTTTCATTTTGTTTTCGTTTTTATTGTCCATTTTTTGTTTTGTTCTTCCTTTCTCTAAATTGGAAACTTGAATCTAAAATTATAAATCATAAATTAAAACTAAAAAAAAAAATAGAGGATGGTAAAAAAGGAAAAAGGAAATCGTTTTGATTGAAATTCACTTTTATTCTAACAAAACTACTTTAAGCTTATCAGTTAAAAGAATAAAGGATAATATACAAAATTTCAAATATAGGAACTTGTGTAAGTAGTAGAAAAGAAAAATGAAAATAATTTTGAATTAATTGCTTTTAACGTGGTCCGGTTCCGGTATTTTTTTTTTCGTAATTACTTACTTATTTGAATAAATTTTAATAATTTTCTTGGTTTTTCCAAAAAAAATCGGTCATTTTTCTGTATTTAATTTTTATCATTCTTTTTTAAGTGGTTATTAAAGAATACTGCTATGATAAAACCTGAAATAAAATTGCTTATTTGAAAATCTAAGAAAAATGAGGAAAAATAGAGTTGACCGTGTCAATTCTGTGATACCCGTACGAATTTGTTACCCTATGTGCTAGTAAATATTCCATAGCTGACTATCGGACAGACTATGAATTTAAGTTACCTTATTACCATATTAAGTTATACAAAATTTCAGTACTGTGGTTTCAATATTTTCTAAGATATGGCGAAACTATTATTGAAGTTTTGTGGCAGCTACCACAAGTGCTCATACCACAAGATCTTTTAATGAATATAGCTGCCATTTTACCATATTGTATTTTGTAAAATTGTAGTACAGTATGTTGAACAGTTTTTAAGGTATAGCCAAATAAATTTTCAAATTGTATGGTAGCTACCATTAGAAGGAGCTAAACATTTTGAATGACCTTTATCAAACTCAATTACCCTAACGTTTGTGCGAAAATTCAATACTATAGCTTCTATAATTTCTTAGATTTATAGCCAAATAAATTTTGAAGTTGTACGGCAGTTACTCGAATCAGTACTTGGTGAACTTAGTTCAATTAGTTTTTGAGTTGAATAGTTGAGACGGAAGTTATCATTGAGTTTATATCTGAGATCATTATTTCTTAGCGTTACAAACGGTAAGGCAAATTTAATATACACTTCGAGCACACATTCGTACAGGTATAATAAAATATGCGGGCAAGAAAAACAAAACTGTATATAAAATCATTTTGAATATTTTATGAATTTTCTTAAGAAGAATTGAATTGGGTCATAAAAAAGAAAAATAAAGGTATTTTGTGGATAATGCGAAATAAGTATATGTTTTGAACAAGCTTTTTAAATATATAATCGGAATGTTCCATATACGTATATAATTTATTAGAAATGCGAGCTACTTAAGAATGAAATTACAATATTTATTAAGAGCAAAAAAATAAGTAGAAAATAAAAACCATAAAGCAAAAATTGATTAAATATTTGAGCTTTTGAAGAATTCCAACTAAAGGATAATAGAAAATTTGTTTAATATTTGACGAATGAGGTCAGGTCGCATGCCATAAAATCCCATGTACGTACATACAACCTGTTGTTTCGTTTATTTATTGGCATTCATTAAAGACTTTGTAGAATAAAAGACTAGTTTTTTAATTAAAATTTATAAATTTTTAATTTTTTTTAAAAAATTAAGTGCGTTTTTATTAATTTTATATTCTTATGTTCGAAGAACCTGTCTATATTTTCATTAAAAATTTGGAGGTCAAAAAATCTTGTTATTAGAATGTGCACTTTTTTTTTAAGTATAAATTGAAAATATTTGAAAAATTTTAATTACTAATAATCTATGCTTGTGTAGAAAATAGTCTATGAATTTTTAAAACTCATATAAGATGAAAAATAAAGACAGTAATCCTTGACATACTAAATAAAGGACTTATGTTGAAATTCACTCATTAATTTCAAATTAAGTAAATTTTCTTCAGAATTATTGATAAACTTTTAATAAACTGAAAATTTTGACGATTCATCATAAACTTAAAAGAACTAATGTAATACCATTACAAATATCCCGCGAAAAATTGTCATACTCTTAACAATTATTTAAAGGATTAAAGAACTTTCTATATAATACAACAAAGTATTTATAACCGGCGAAAATGGAAATAATTTGAAAGAATACTGTAATTAATACAAGAATAATGTCAGTATAGAACTTGGAAATGGCGCATATCATTCAAAATAATCTTAGATTTGTATTGCTTGATAATTTGACCATTTTAATATTTACGTATAACGTTTTGTGCCCTGTATTTAAAAAAAATTGCTATACGAATACTAGTATGATGAATCAAAAAAAATATTTTGATTGATGTTATTAAAAGTGAAAGGATAAAATTGGGATTTCACGTTTTCTTTTTAATTTAAATAGGTTAAAAACCTTTTTGATAATTGCTATTTGAAAATAAGTAGGTGTTTAATAAGGTCAAATCTCGCTAGGTGTTATTTTTTATGATAAACTTAAGGTCTTAGAAGTAGTTGAATATATTTACGATTGAAGTGTTGCTTTATTTGAAATTGCATTGAATTGGTCGTCGTTTCAAAGGTAATTTCATTATATTACTCTCATGTGGAAACCGACATCACTATTGGACATCATTTTTGCTAAGAAAAATTAAAAAGCAGTGATTAACTATTTTTTTGTTTTATTGGTGTGAAAAGAAAACTTCCTTTTATTCGGAATAAAATACTTTTATTTTTCGCTAATATATTTCGTGCGCTACATACGCACTTTATCAAAGCTGATTTTCTTCTAATTAAGACAACAAACAATAAAAATTGAAATCTATTAAAATTAGGAATATTATACCTGACTTAATATAATCTACCTGACTTAATCTAGAATTTGATTATTTATTTATTTTTTTTTTGTTATTATTTACAAATTATTTAAATTTATACCTGTTTTAAACCTTAAAACTGGTCAAATAATTAATTTAAAGAGCCAAGTAGCCGTGTTACCTTCGTCCGTGTTTAGTAGGCAGTCCTTGTTTGATTTGTATATCTGCATGCTTTCATGAACTTCTCTCCTGTGTTTTCCTTTAACTCTTTTAATACCTTTAAGGTATCTTCCGTGATTGTGTGATCCGTTTCATAAATGTGTTTTGCAACCATAGAATTGAAAATCCGGTTAAATCCTACTCTCCTTGCACGTTTTATTTCACTTAAATGTTCCTTAAGTCTTGTTGTAACGGGTCTCTTCGTTTGTCCTATGTAAAATTTATCGCAATTATTACAGTTGATTTTGTACACACCACATCTTTCATGTATCTTCAATTTGTCCTTAGCCGAATTTAACAAACTCCCAAGTTGATATTTACTATTGGTTTCCGATGTCCGAATATTGTGTTTCCTTAGTTGTTTATTTATCAAGTTTGTACAGTGATGATCATAACGTAAAGATGCCCATGTTGTTCTTTGTTCTTCCAATATCCTGTTCTGTTTAAACAATGTGCTCATATTCTCCTGCTCAATTTTTCGTTTTTTCTTCCTAATGAGTTTGTTAATACGTTCAGTAGAATAACCGTTCTTCACAGCCGTGTCCAAAATGAAGTTTACTTCGGATCTATAGTCGTGTCTGTCCATCGGTGTGGTTAGCATTCTATGGATCATAGAGTTGAACGCCGCCATTTTATGTTTCGTTGAATGGTACGAGTCCTTTGGAATGCATCTTTGTGTTGTTGTTTTCTTCCTATATATCTTGAATCCAATTTTTTCAGATTTTCTTTTCACCAATATGTCCAAAAAAGGCAACACTCCATTTTCCTCAATTTCGAACGTAAATTCGATGTTTCTATGTAATTTGTTGATGCATCTGTTTATATTCTCCAGTTCTTCCTTGTCCACTATCGCGAAGACGTCATCAACATACCGCATCCATATTCTAGGCATCAGAGAATCCTCCTCCATTCTTTTTTCCAATTTGGACATAAATAATTCTGCGATAAATGGTGAAAGTGGATTGCCCATCGATACTCCCGATGTTGTTCTGTACATCTCGTTTCTGAATTCGAAGTAATTCTCCTCCATGCAAAGTCTTGCTAATTTGTGGTGTTCTCTTACTTTGTTGTTCCAATTTTCTGTTTCTGTTTCTCCTTCTTGTGTTGATAACCATACTTTCAAATATTCAAGAGCTTCGTTAACTGGAACACTAGGAAAGAGCGCTTTGACATCGAACGATACCATTAATTCATCAGGACCAATCTTTAAGCCTTTCGTTTTTTCTATAAATTCCTCTCTATTCTTGATAGAACAGGAACGGAAATCCATTTCCCCAAATCTTTTCACGAGCCACTTCGCAATTTTGTATGTTGGGGCGCCGTTAGCGGAAATGATCTCCCTAAACTGCTCACCTTCCTTGTGAATCTTTGGTAGACACACCAGTTTCGGAACTGATGGATTCGGCATCGTCAAGTCGTTGATGTTGAAGTCCAGAAACTTACACTCTTTTAAAGCAGTGATTAACTATTTTCTCCATCATCTATTCTTATGTGGTAGTGTTTTTAGACAATATTTTATTGAAAGACACTGCCAGTACTCTGATTACCAAGTGCCTTATGACTGTTGTCTCCTTTTTGTTCAAAATTTTCCTAAAAAATAAATTTGAAATTTAATTATTTTGGCATTTCAGTATTAATTTTTTATTTAATTTTGTTTTTCAGTGTTAATAAAATATCGTCTTTGGCACCGTTCGAAGACTGCCTTAATCTTCAAGAATTATATTTGAGAAAAAATTCAATCTCAGATATTAATGAAATTGCCTATTTACAAAATCTTCCAAATTTAAAATATTTATGGTTAGAAGAAAATCCATGTTGTGATGTTTTAGGTTCAAAGTAAGTAAATTATAATTAATTTATTATATACTTAAAAATTTGTAAAAATCTTTTCTAAATTAAAAATTAATGTTATGTTCATCCTATATATAGTTATCGTTCAATTGTGTTACGAGCATTGCCAAATCTTAAAAAATTAGACAATGTAGATGTAACACCGGAAGAAATCGAAGAAGCAATGAGAATGACAGTACAGCGAGATGAAGAAGTTTATGAAGATGCACGTGAAGTACAACAACAGCAACAACAACAGCAACCACAACCACAACCGCAACAACAGCAACAAAGAAGAAGTCAAAGTCCCAGTAAAGAAGTAAGTATACAAAAAAAAAAATTTTTTTTAAATTTTAAAATGTAGAGAAAAAATAAATTTTAGTGTTTTTTACATTTTCTCTATAATTATTAATGAAATTAACTTAACTTCATACAATTATTATTATTATATTTTTTTAATTAATAACTAATTTAGTATAATATTAGAAAAAAAAAAGAAAATAGAAAAAGTAATTATAGAAAAAGTAAATTTTGTATTCGAGCATTTAACCATGTGTTATGCCAGAAACATTAATATTTATTTTTTGTTTTTAAGTTTATAATTATTATTAATATAATTTAATTTTTTAAAAATTTATTTTCTCCCAAAAAAATAATTAATAATTGACATTATTTGAATGTTAAAATGCGTGAACAAAATCAAATTGTCGTACAAAATTGTTTCCTGTTCTCCATTTCCCGATATTTCAATTCGTCAGAATAATAAATATAATAGTGTTGCACTGCACTAATGCTCTCTATGTTCGTAGCCCTAAAAAATTGCAATGAGCGAAACGCTCTACTAAAGAGAATCCTCTCTTAACAATTTTTGTTTTAGATAAATTTATTTTACATATGCCTAATTAAAAGAGAGCTCCAAAATTGAGCACAAGGCTCAATACTAATTTACAGTAATTTGTAAGAATCTTAGAAAATAAATTAAAATCACAACAATTTGACAAGAATTAGAGTATGTTCGCAGTTTTTACTTATATACAAAAGATTTGTTCAATTTTAAAATAATTTACAAGACTTTTTAAGTTTTTTTAACATCATTTTTGCGTATGCGTGTTATGTATGCGGTGCATTATAATGTAAAATTTGCTTAACAGTTGGCGTTGTGGTTTTGTTCTCGGTTAACAGTGAAAGTCGTCCGAGAACAACATAATTTTATAATGATAATTCGAAAATGTTTATTATAAGTAAGAAGATAACATTAAATTTTCATCGTCTTAAAATATAGAAAATTAGAATTTCAATTCCGAGAATTTTATATAAATTTAAATAACAAAGAATATTAAATTTTATTGACATTAATAAATTTAGTTTTTATATGTATGTATGTTTCCTTCAAAATTTCATTATATAATACGGGAATTTTTGTTATTTTCGAAACGTGCTCTGAACAAAAGGATAAAATTAAAATTGATCTTTGCATAGTTTCTTAAAAATTTTTTTTTGTATAACTTTAAAAAAAAAATAAACTTATTATTATTCTTATCAATGTCATTTTTAATGGAAAAGAAGGAAAAATTTCAAACAATATAAAACTATACGTTAAAACACTAAAAATACATACACATATACAAATATTTTCCTATTTGTTTATTTTGTTCATAGATTTTGCGTAAAAATTTTGTTATATCCTTAAAAACTATACTGAAATCTAATACAAGAAAACAGTGAAACTATATTTTAAGAGAATTATAAATATTTGAGGCTTGTTCACACATACGACAAAATTTCCGGTCTAATTTGAATTTGATGAAAGTCGTATATGTATGTAAAACCCTGTTTGACATTTTATCTGACAAAAAGTAATAGAAATTGATTCTAATCAAATTAACTCTCAAATTTTTCAAAAGTAAAATGGTGACAATTAATTTTTTGTAAGAAGTTTGAAGCGGCGATCAGCTGATTTTTATTTTGATTATAATTTTCGTAGCAAAAATTATTAAAGTTTGACGTAAAATTTGATCACCATCAGATAGTTTGAGCTTAATTTGTAAAGACTCATGAGGCATTATTGTACATTTAATCCTTGATTTTGTCGTATATATTTAAACAGTATCTTCAAGAATTTTAATTCGGCTAATCTAAAACTATAGTGCATAGTGCATATAATTATAGTGCATATTATTCAAGCTTACCAAAAAATTTTCAAAGAAATTTACAATATTTTGATAGAAGTAATTTTTAGCTCATTATTATGCGAAAATATACTTGAATTTTCGAAAAAATTGGATGATTAATTTCGAAATTGAATGAGTTCGATAATTTTTATATTTTATTGGTTAAATTTTTAATTGTCAAATTTTCAAATGTTTTATAAGAACCAGAACCTTTTTATTCACTCTTGTTTATAACAGAATGACGCCTTAATATATGTATTTCAAAAAATGTAGATAGGTTCATTTGAATTTTTGTATCTGTACATGTATTTAGTAGTTAATTTGTGATTTTCGAAATAAGAAAATTCCATTTAAAGAATATTTACAGTTCTTGTATTGTCCTTGAAAGACAACATAATTTTTTTTTCTGATTTTCTCCTTCAATGAAACAAATCAATGTCAAGAAATTATGTTTTAAATATAAGAATGAAAAAACAACAAAAAAAAAACATCCCAACAAATTAATGACTTTTCTGATAGTGTCACGCAATGTCGTCGTTGTCATCGTCGTCGTCGCTGTTGTAATCGTCGTCGTTGTCATCTTTATTTATTTTTATTTAAATTTATTTATTATTCTTATTTATTTTTATTTTAATAATAACAGTAATATATAAATGCTATATTAATGCGTAATAATAATTAAAAAAAGAAAAAAATATTTTACTGTTATTATTTTTTTTTTGTTTTGTTTCTTAATTTGTTTATATTGTTTTCTTTTTTATTTTAATTCTAATTTTTTTTTATATTATTAACAATATTATTATAATAAAAACAAACTAACTTTTTTCTAAAAAAAAACATTAATAAAAAAAATACTGAACACAAAAAAAAAAAAAAAAAAAAATTGTTATGATCCTTCCACCATCAGCAATATCCTTCCAGTAGCCCATCAGAAAATATTGAAGAAATTTTCACTGAAAATATTATTCAATCTGCGGCATCGTCTTCACCACCACCACCATCACAACCACAACCACAAGTACAGGTACTTAGTAAAAAAAAAAAAAAGAAAAACGAAATTTGCAGAAAATTTTTTTTTTTTTAATTTTTTTTTTTATTTTTTGGTTTTATTTCTTATTTTTCTTTTTTTTTTTTTTCATCACTTTTGTTGGTCTAACTTCGATTATGTGTTTCCTTCCTCTTTTTGATTTTTTATTATTTTTTTGCTTTTTTCTTTGTTTTGTTTTTGTTGGTAATTTTTTGTTCAATGGTTTAGGCTATTGGTAATTTGTCATATTTTTTTTATTAAATTAATCACTTATTAATTATTAAACATTGTCATTTATATTTTAGTCTAATAAGAATCTTTATAGTTGTCATAATATTTTAACTGTTATATACATATAGAAATTAATTTTAATTAATATAGAAAATGCAAAACTAATAAAATAATTACAATAATTTTTTTTTTTATTTAATTTTTTCTTTTCATTTCTTTGTTTTTTTTTTTTCATTTTGCACAATTTTTGTTTTTTTTTTATTAATAATAATTTACAGAGATCACCACCAAGTCAGGATTATTCACCACAGGAATCAATACATCCACCATCACCGAAGTACAATAATAATAATAATATTAATAATAATAATAACAATAACAGGGATAATAGAATGTCTTATCATCAATATGATGTAAGGGTTTTCATATTTTAATCTTAAAAAAAAAAAAAATTTATACGCCATTTTATACAATACATAAAATTGACATTGACATTTAAATTGAAATTTTTATACATTTCGTTGCACACAATGAGAAAACTCAATGTGAGAACAAGAGAAATATGCTTGAGTGTTAACATGAATGTGTGTATAGAGTTTTTAATTAAGTCAATATTGTCGAGTGTCGACCAGTGTAAACAGGCTCTGTTTAAAATTATTGTGAATGATTGCATAAATAATGGAATTGTAAAAAAGGATGAATGATAAAAATTATTTGGAGGTTAAATTTTTTATTTTAATTATAGAATAATTAAATTTCATTGTATTTAAAACAAGAAAAGCTTAGAAATGAGAGTCATACACCCTTAATTTATTTCTGCATAATTGTTCATTTGAATTAATCGAATATCGAAGCCACTCAAACTTTAAAATAAAAAAAAATTTATTTTAATATTAACAAATTTTACAAGTGCTTCAAACGAGTTTCAATTCTTATGGTTTTCGTTACAACTTTATTAAATTTATTGAATTCAATACCCTATATATAATTAGATTTGCTAATAAACCTTCCTTACTCGTTTACATGTTGAAGTTCGAAATAATAATAAATACGAGAATCAAATAGGTTTTTTTTTAAAAATATTCTTTAGACTTGGTATCGAATGGTATCGAAGTGCATTTTTAAACCCCTAATTAATTTTAATAAAATATAAATGGCAAATTTTGTGGTGTAAGTCAAGAATAACCACTTTATTGATTAATAATTTTTCTACATCATTTTCTAGAAACAAGCTCCCACTAATAAATTATAATTTGTAAAAAAACAAGAGAAAATAATATTATTAAAGGACATTTTTACTTTGTCATTATATGAAAAATGCATATAGCATGATTGTATGCAATTACTAATATTGTTGTCTTTTTGAAAAAAACTAAATTTATATATATTAGTAAACATTGAGCGAATATTATTAATAATGTTCTCCCTTATATTTTATTCAACAGAGAAAATTTGTATAGCTATATAAAATGAACGATCAATAATTTTAGTGTGCTATTTAAGGGAAAACACTCCCAAATACACCAGTCTATATTTAAGAGAATATGTTGTGAGTTGTGAGGGGTATTTATATGAAAATTTATTATCATATGTGGCTTCTTAGATATTTTTATGTGCAAAATTATGGGTTCCATAATTTCAAATCCAAATATATAGGTTAATATCAATATTACAGAATTTCAATACAAAGAAATTTTAAATTTCATGCTATTTCTTACATATTCCAGGAATAGTTTTAAGTGTTATATTCCTTTGAATGTGACGTAAGAATTCAGAATGATTGCAATATATAGTATATAAGGGTATAATGAACAATTTACAGGGTATGATAAACAATTTTTATCATTCGTCCCGTTTATAGGCAATTTATTATTTATGACTAAATAATAAATTTAATTTATAGGAAGTTGATTATTGTGAATTTTCACTGTAATTTGACCGATATTTTAAATGACAACTTTAAAACCATTAATTGGGAACGGGTTTTTAAAATATCACTGATATATTTTTCTTGAAAAATATCCTTGAATTTTTTTAAATTACGTTTGATGTCGTGCACATACTTAAAAGTTTAATACTCATTGCAATATTGAAAAAATTTTCAAAATTTTTAATATTGTAAAGGAAAGCAAGCACCTTATTCTAAATGTTATAAATTCGATATTTTTATAACCTTCAAGTGATGGCAATAAAATATTTCATAATGAAGTTAATTCATAAATCTAAATCTTATATCTAATATCTCACGCACAATACCTCATTAATAAAAAAAATTGAAAATCAATAAAGTTTAAATTCATTCCTCCATAATTTGTAAGATTAAACACACAACAGAAGGACCCAAAATGGCTGGTCTACAAAATAATAAAATTTTTAAATTTTTCTTATATAAATTTATTAAAAAAACTTTTCGGTTCTGTTAACCAAAATAAATTTCGTTTAAACACAATTTTACAAAGCGCACTATTATGATATCAATTACCCATATATAGGTCCTATCAGAACTATTATCAAACTTTCATTCTGCTCTAATTTAAACAAAAGTATTCATTCATATTATAAGTGAACACTTACATTAAATTTTCATTTTTCCATTTTACTCAAAAATTTAGGGAAAACTTACACAGTAACTATAGAATAATCTGATAACTTAATTTGTAAAAAAAGAAAAATTAAATTACGCTGTTCCAAAAAGCTGTTAAAAGGCTAAAATATATTTCCTATTTATTTAAGTGTGTGTGTATAAATAAGGTTATATATGAGTGTATAAAAAAAAATAATTTCAACTTTTGCTTAACATCAATGAATTTTTTGAAGTTTTTTTATTGAATTATGCAGAGGAAAAAATTTCAAAATGCATTTTTCTGTTCAAACTGCTGTTGTTTTTGCTTATATTTCTAATTTACGATAAGGATAAAAAATCTATCCTTATTTCGATGATTTTGTTTAAATTTTTTCTAAATTTTTTTAAAATTTAATGTTGAGGTTTTGTGTTGGTTTCTATAATGGTAAATGAAGTTTAAATAACTTGCTATGGGAAGCTTCTTTTACTTCTATGAATTGTAAAAGGGTTCTGATATTTAATGAATTGTTGTTCTGTTATAAAACAAATATAGTTAGAAAAACTTAAATTGTATGTGCCGACACAGCATAATTTAAATAATTTTTAGTAAAGTTTGAGCCAATTTGAGCCAGTTTGAGCCAGTTTGAGCCAATTTGAGCCATTTTGAGCCAATTTGAGCCAATTGAGCTAATATATGTTTGCCTAATAAGCTGTAAATTGAGCCATTTTTTGAGTGCCACGAATCATGCTTATTTAAACAATATGCCAAAAACGACTCTTTTCTCAAATTTACATTCAATTATACCAAAAATTTTATAAGTAAATTAAGAAATTTTAAAATTTCTGAGTAAAATTTTTAATATTTAAAGCACAATTTTATTAACTTCAATTTTTTTAAATAAGACAAGCTTCAAAATACACTTATATATTCTCGGCTAATATTTTATTCAAAATAATTATACTAATTGACTAATTATGGCTTAAATTCAATACCTAAAATATAAAAAAAAATCAATTCATTTTAATAATTCTAATAAATTAATAAACAAAAAACAAAACTTACATCATAATTACTTCATTTATATATAAAATCAGAGATCACCTGGATCTGAAGAAAGTAGTCCTTATAGTGGAGATCGAGGTAGTGGTGGAGGTGGCGGCGGCGGTTATAAAGATCGTGGCCCCATTCCACCTAGTATGTCTACACATTCAATGAAGGTATTTATAAAAAATAAAAATTTAAAATAACACTTTTTTTTATGTTTTGGTTTCTATTATGAAAAAAAAAAATTCAAATTCTAAAATGCTTTATCAATATATTTTTGGAAATTGGCCTCATATGTATATTATAAATTTATTATTTAATTTCGTATTTGAAATTAAAATTGGATGCAATTAAATTTTATAATTTTGTATTTTAGGAATATTATCAATCGGATTATCAAAAACCACAGCAACCATCACATTATCGTCATAGTCAAACGGATCTTACAGAATGGGATGAACATCAGCATCAGACACAAAATGGTAGAGGTGATATGCCTGGTAGAAGGGTTGGAGAAAGAGATGAAAGGTATAGAAATGGGAACGCTAGACATGATGATTGGGAAGACAGAGACGAACGTTCAAGAAGGTTAAAAGAAATTTTTCGCAATTTTTCATATTTCAAATTTTTAGAACCCCCCCAGATATTTAAAAAAAAAAAAACTTTTTCTTTTTCCATATTTTATACATTTCTTGGAGGGGGGAATATTTTTTAATCTAGATATTTTATAATTATTTTTTCCATAAAATTTATTTTTCAACCTCTCATTCGATGTTTTCTTTTTCTTGTTTTAGAATTCAAATTGATTATTCTAAATTTATTTTTACTATATATATTTATTATACCATATAATTATACCATTTTTATATTTATTTTACTTCCGATTATTTTATGCATTTACTATTCCAAATTCTGTATGTATGTATATATATATAAGTTTAGAAACTTAAACTGTGAGTAAATTAAAAAAAAATAAAATAAATACCTTCAAACTTCTTGTTATTAAAGAGACGATTAAATAATTTTTATAAAAAATAAAATTTGAAAATGTTTTTTAAATTGAAATTAAAATAAAAATTATTATTGAATTTTCAGAGGACATGGTCGATATAGTGATACTGCAAGTGTTGTTTCAAATGCTGTCTTAAATCATTATGCCGGTTATCATAGAAGACCAGTGAATAGGGTAAAAATATTTTAAAATTTATATTGAAAAATTTTTATTTATTTTAATTTTTTTTTTTATTTTAGAGTTCAAATCTGCTATCTGCAACATTATGTCTGGTTAAAGAATTATTATCCTAGCCTTGAAGTTGTTGAACATGCTGTACGTTGCCGAATCGATGAATTATCAGCTGACTGATGAAATCGACGTTTGCCATCTTATTGAAGAAAGAAGTTGGCAAAATAATTTTTTTTTTGTAGAACTATGTCGTTGTAATATTATTAATGCAATTATTTAAAAAAAAACAAACAGAAACAAATTAATATTATTGTAATATTTAAAAACTTAATATTTTTGTTAAATTTTTTAACATTTTCTTTTTGTAACAATTTTTTGTTTTTAAATTTTGCGTTTATTTAAAAAAAAAATTAAAATGTTTGTTATACTAGTAGTTTTTTTCTTCACTTTATTACTAATTTTATTAACAATGTTATGGTATGCACAACTATTTAGAATTTATATATTATTTGCATACGTATAACAAAATTTTTAAAACTATTAAAGAAACTATGTTAGTAATTAAAAACATTTCAAATAAATTAATTAGAAAATTAAATTCTAATAAATTAACTACAATAAATTAGATATTTGTACTCTTATCACAAGATGTTTACACTATTAAAATTTGTTTTTAGATAATTCTGAAATTATTCAAGCTTTATAAAATATTATAAAATATTATGTTCGCCAACCAATGTAATTATTGTAAAAAAACTTTCAAAACTTATATCCTATAATAATACGAAATAAGATTAAATAACTAAATTAAATTGAAAATGTTAATTGATTAAATTAAATTATACTTTTGTTTTTGTCTTATTGATTAATTCGGTTCAGAATCAGCAATATGTTTATTGAATATTTTATTATTCTAATATTTATTATATGTTATATTATAATATTAATTTTTTGTAATTTAATGTATTTGTAAATTATTTCATTAAGTTTTTAAAATGAAAATTAAAACTGAACTTATTTAAAAATGAATATAATTACACATTCCTAAATAATGTAAAATATGATATTACTGGAAAAATCAAAAATATAAAATTTAAAATATAAATTATAAAACATTTACTTGTTGCATAATAAATTAGATTATTTATTTGAAATTTAAGAATTTTAAAAAAATTTTCATAATATTTTGTAAATAATAACAAAATGGAATTAAGATTTTACACTTAAAAAATTACTTCTATTTGGAGAAATTTATTAAAATTAAATTCTTTCAAACAAACTTAAGTAAATTTAAAAAAATTTGTATCTGAAGCAGAATTCAATTATTTAAAATTCTATGAGAAATTTTCAGTGTAGTTTTCGATGAAATTTTTAATATGTACAAGTAAATGCAATTTATATAAGTTTGTAAATCGAAACTTTTAAAAATTAATATTTATATACTAAAAATTAATTTATATTCAACTATATTAATTATCATTAATAAATTGTTAAAGAAAATTCAAGATGATTCACATCACATGGTATCGTTTAAAAATCGTGCAATAGAATTTTTGTTTTTTAATTTTATCATAATGTTATCAAATTTTATTGTATATTGAATAATATTTTTCAATTCTCGAATAAATTACTTTAAAGTTACTGTCCTATTCCTATATACAAAGAATATAATTAAAGAATATAATAAAATAAATATAAATTATATATGCATACTTTTAAAATATTATGTTATACAAATTATTATAAAAATTTTTTAATTTAATACAAATTGAACTCATTTATATAAACAAAAATAGAATTTTATTAAAATAGAATATCTTTTCTTTAAATAAAATATCATTTAAATTAAATATACAAATAAAAATCATACAATAATTTATAAATATTTAAAACAAACAAAAAAAAAATATATAAACAATGAACTTGCCAATTAATAATTTGTTACAATGTAATCAAAATATAATTATTAAAAAGAAAAAAATAAATATTAAATATTAAAGAAAAATTTTGTACTTAATTAAAACAAAGAAACAAAAAAAGAAAATACAAAAGAATGGCAATAAAATAATAGAATTATGAAAATATTTTAAATAATTTTGCGCACAAGCAGCAAATTTTATTTTATTTATAAACTATAAAATATGGAAATTGAAAAATTTTACTATATAAATTTTTGAATTTCTCATAATAATATATTTTTTTATTTGAAATATTATTGCTTAATAATATTTCAAATTACTGCCACAGTTCTAAATTTTTAAATTTTATGTATTTATTTCATTGTAACCTCATTTTAAAATTAAATTTTCGTCTTCATTATTAAGTACAAGTTTATAATGTAGCAAGATATTGAATAATATTTTAAAATACTTAATAATATTCTACTTTTATGTATAATAGTTATTTAAAATCTTTCTAATTGCGTCCAATTATGTTGTCCTAAAAGAAGAAATTCAAAGTTATTTCAAAGTTATATAAATTTCTTTTAACATTCATAAATCAATTTAAATCTAAAACAAAATTGTTTTTATTATTTTAATTTGTGAGGTTTGCAATTTTTGTAGTTTTGATCTATAATCTAAAATTTTCATTTCGTCCTCAAATTTAATTATTACAATATTTTGAACTTTAAATATGTAGATTAATTGATGCTTGAATTAAAACATAAACATAACATAAAATTTTATTATAATTAATCAATTATATAATTTATTAAAATATTAATACATTAAAATTTTCAAAATATTACATTAATATATTTTCAATTTAAAAAGAAAAAACATGATTTTAAATTAAAATTGAAATCTCTGTATAATTTTTATAATCTGTATCGTTGAGCCGAAAAGATTTAGATTGACCGTATTCTCTTGTAACTTTGAACTTACCTCTATAAGAACTTAAAATAATTTTAAAATTAAAATATTTTTAAAGTTGAATTTTACTTAAAGCAAAAATTTCGTTTTTAATTAGATATTTTTAATAATAAAATAAAAAATAAATTTTGTTATTTTAATCTAAAAATGAATTAGCAAAAAAAAAACTAAATTGTTTAAATAAAAAAAAGGCGCTTTGTTATTTCACCTAAATGTTATGTAATTTTTAAATTAATTATAAAAGCAAAATTATTTCAAAAAAAAAAAAAAAAACAGAAAACTAATAAAAATTAATAATAAATTATTGACTAAGTGTAATTAACTATTTATTTAGTTTTTAAGAATAATTAATTAATTAATTAAAATAATTGAGTAAAAGAAAATTGTAAAAAAAAATTTTCATAATTTTTAAAATAACATTTATTAAAAAGGAGTGTAAAATAAATTTACAGAATAAAAAAATTATTATTAAAAAAATAAAAAAAAATTGCATCAATGAAAATAATTTTTAGTAGCTAACAAAATAATAATAATTATTAATAATAATGAAAATTTTATAATTTTTAAACAAAAAAAAAAAAGCAAAAGACATTGTATAAAATATATATGGAAAATATTAATAATATATACAGAGAATTTGTGTAAAAAAGGAGAAAAAACAAAATGGAAACAAATATAATTATAATGAAAAAAAAATATTTTCTAACAAAAAAATTGCTATTTTATTAATCATATTTAAATTTATTTGGTAAATATTTTAATTTGACTATAATAATTTACATAATAATGTAGTATTTTAATCCCGAATTGCTAAACATTACGAAAATCTTGTATAAAGTACAAGAAACTACTCGTAAATCAAGCAAACGGAATACAAAACAATTCGAAAAGAATTTACAAAGAAAATAATTGCTAAAAATATCCAAGAGATGGCTGTAACGATTTTTTACTTGTACGGTGGAAGAAACACAATTTTCAAGATCAAATAATATTATGGTTTGTGTCTTTGAAAAACAAAATGGTAATGGAATAATTTTCGAAATTTGAAATATTTTTCTAATTTCAAAATCAAATTTTTGAAAAATTATTTCGTCATGTTTCCATATGAAATATAGGTAGCGCTGAAAACATTTAAAGGTTTAAAGTATCAAATTTAATAAAGCCAGAAAGCCATATGATGTTTGTATAAATATTTTGGGTGCGATATAATATAATAGCAAATCGATACATATTTGCAAATTATAAATTAAGAATGATTTGGAACAAGATTAAATCGCTTTTGAGAAATTTTTATTATTACAATATCAAAGATATTTTGGCCTCAACTTGTTTTAATTATTTTCACTCAATATTTCACCAAAGTTTTTTTAAATTACCGTTATTGTGTTTTAAAATATATTATTTATTACATTGATATATCAAACTATATTCGAATACTATTCCAAATTTTTGAAAACATCAGTAATGTGAATTAGAACACAATTAGGCAATGAAAATTCATAAACTGCTTTGTGTATTTATGCAATATTAAAGATTACCTATACGTACACGTGCACTAACTTAGATAAAATTTGATATGGAATAACAATGCACCGTCTTCAAAAAGTTGGACCTACTGTGTTAGACCTTCCCCCTCTGCCCTTTCCGCATATCTCGACTTAAGCGCTACACTTACTTTTCTGGCAAATTTGAGTAACTTGTGGATGTCGATTCCTCGCAGTTCTTTTGCTGAGCGGGCATAATCACCCAAGACTCCCCTCCTCTGGGGTTCAACGCTTCACATTAACCTGGAAGCTGTATCAATCTGTCCTCCAGAGCAGCCTGTAGTACCCTTACACTGAAATTGAATTTGTATTAAATAAAAACTAATAATTTTTATCCTCGATTTTTTTTTTGTCTTTATTTTGTAGTTTTATCCTTTTTTTATGTATAATTTTCTTTTTATTTGTGTGTGTATATATATATATATATATATATATAGTTTTTCTTTATACATTTTAACAACACATAAACATTCACGTTTTTTTTTTTGTATTTTTTTTTTAATTATAGTTTTTTTTTTTTTGTTATTTTTGTTATTGCGAATATAATTTTTGTTTATTAAATCATCTTTTGTGTTTCTTCTGTTGTTGCTGTTGTTGTTCTTGTTTTAACTCTTAGTTGTATGTGAATTACAATATTTTTAAAGAAATAAAATGTCTTCTTCTTTTATTTTATACACTTGTGTTTTTTTTTAAATTTCAAAAGATTTTATTTGTTTTTGTATGTGTGTTTAATTTTTTTTTATATTTTTGTTTTATTTATCAATATTTAATTGAAAATATTTGCAGATTTAAGCAATTAATTTTTTTTTATATTTATAAATTTATTTTTTGTTTTCTTCTTCGCTTTCATATAGTTTTTATTGTTTTTTTATACTTAAAATATTTTTAATATATTTTTTAATATTTTTTTTTTTTGGATTTTTTATTATTATTTTTTTTATACATTTAATGAAACTCTAAAAGCAATTAATTGCTATTTTTTTTTTTATGCAATTAAAAATTATTTAAGAATCAAATAAAAATAAATTTTTTATAACTTTTTATTTTT